AAGTACAGCAGCCAGTCTCGTAGTCCAGAACCAAACCCCGAACCTGCCTCGCCTCAACATCAACCCAGCTCGCCGCCGAAACTAGTAACGAATGACGAGGGATGTCAGACTATGGAGATTGACTTTCAATCGCCTCTACCTACACGAACAACTGCAGGTACCGCCGAGGCGCCACACGACCCGGAGCCAATAACGGGAGAAGAGCCGTTTATTCAACATCGAATAGGTATAGCCGAGGGTAGGATCGAAGATAGCATCGGAATTAGTGTCGAAGATAACTTCCCTGAGCCATGGCCTCTATATCCTCCCGCTGGACCGCTTTCCGGCACTGAGTTGGCTGCTTTACAGCCTGGTGCCGAGTTCAGCGCTGCAACCCACGACTTGCAGCAAGAATGGGACCCTGGACATATCAATACCTCTCCAGAAGGATATGCGCATGTCGAGGAGCCACTACCACCTGACGACTTCGCAGATGTGTATGGTGGCCAAGATCTGGCGGGTCTGGAGGGCATGAGGCCTAAGAGCCGTTCGCGCTCACCAAGCGAGCCAGATAAACTTGCGATTGAGCATTCCGAGCAAGAGCACGGATCAGACATTGACTTACCAACCGAGGACCAGAGCTACCCCCTTTTACCTGTCCCGCATACTACGGCCTATCCACCTCTGGATCCTGACGGCGAGGAGCAAACTGATTCAATCTTGCAGGAGAACCGTATGGATTACCCTGCGTCTTATCTGGATGACAGTCGATCCTATTCCCACGAACACACGGGTGTTGAACAAGGCCCATTTGGTTCGAGGATTCCTGCTGCGGGTGCAGGGCCCTCATGGGCTACAATCAACCATCCTTCTCAAGCTACTTCGATGCCACGTACCGACCAATTAGGAAGCGGGGACGGCCAGTCTCCTGATACCGCGCTTGTCATAGACGAGAGCGATTCTGACGATGAGCCGCCACCACCAACTGCTGTGGAGGACACGGTCGGCGAAGGCCGCGCCGACGCCCTCGAGATGTACGACGATGCAGAAGTTGAGGACGAAGTCGATGCTAGATATTCAGATGAAGACGAGCCCGAATACGACGCCGACGAGATGGGTGGCGACTACGATACAAGGAACTATATGGGTCCCGATGATGACGAGGATGATAGCCACGACGAGGATCTACGACCACATAATCTTGAGCCTGAATTTGACGACGATGCGGAGAGCTGGGATGAAGATGACGAGGAAAATCCCGAGTTCTATGAGGACGATTCTGAGTTGGATGAAGAGAACGAGGACTTGCAGCAACCACCCCGACCCGCGGTACAATCTACCCCCCAGGTCATTGATCTTATTTCATCATCGGAGGACGAAGGTGAAGGAGAAAACGATGAAGCTATCCAGCCGCCACCACCACCGCTGGAACTTACCAATAGCTCATCGCAAAGCCAACGGATGATGGCATCAAGAAGCCTGACAGGTCAAATACCTGGACAGGACACCGAGGGCCAGAGCGAGAGCGAGAGTGAGGAAGAAGAGGGTAGTGAAGGTGAAGAAGATGAAGACAGTGATTCACCCGAAGAACAGGAAGAGAATGAGGGGAGTCTCGAGGAGGGTGAGATGCAGAGCGGCACCGGTTTCACCCGCTTATCCAAAAGATCCGGATCTGAACCCTCAGCCAGTGAAGATGAAGGCTCCCACGAGCTAGCCGAGAAAGAATATGGAGAAAGAGAGGATACACCTGACGAGCAGAATGCCACAGAGGTTCCTGCTGGGGATCATCGAGACAGTTATAGCGGAACCGAAAGCCCGCATTCCAACCAGTCTCTCTTGAGCCATGAGAGATCGCCCGAGCATAACATGATGGCACCCATCCCTGCTCAAGACAACGATGGCGATGCTATAATGAAGGATGCTGAGGGTGATGAGAAAGGTGCCATTATCAACGCTCCACAATCTGCGGCCGATGGACTTGAAATGCTCAGTCGCGCGGTCGATAGAGAATCAGACGCCAACAATCTGATTGCTCCATCTAAAAACGAACAAGATGACACGGTCGTTGATACTGCTTCACCTGGACTTGTTGTGCCCCATTTGGAGGAAGCAGAAGATATGGAGAAGCAGGCCGAACAGGAAGAAGCGCCCGATGGTCAAGGAAATGACGAGCCGGCTAATCAACTGTCTACTGTACCGACGGCCGCTTCAATCCTGGAGTCCGTGGTAGTTGACGAGGAAGAACGCGTAGAGGTCACCGCCCCATCTCCTCCGCTGACCCATTCGTACATTTCTCAACCTACGAATGAAGAAAAAGTGGATGTTGTGCTGCAGGAAACCGTTGCGACGGTAGAGACCCGAGTGCTCGCTGACCAGCTTCCAACACCACAGGCCACCCAATTGGTAGGGGATGCCGCAGAAGTAGACCCTAGCGCAGCCGTCGGAATGGACGTTGACGCACCTGATGAGGCGGAAAACACAACCGAGTATGTTGAGGCCGTGATCCGTCAGGTTACACACGTTATGGAGCGGCCAGATGATCCTGAGCCACGATTGGTAGTCATCGAAGCCACCGTTACACACGTCGGGGGGCTGCCTGTCGAGCCCCCAACGATTCAAGGACCACAGAACATCCCGGGAGAAAATTTTGAGCATGTCCCGCAACCGAGCCATCTGCCCGTTTCTCCAAGTCTGAGTTTCCAGACCCAGGTTTATGCCGACGACTTGCCCCAAGCAAGTTTTGCAGAGTCCCCAACTACTGCTGTGATCGAAGTTGAGACCGAGGTCGAGAACGACTTAAACACCGAGGTCGAAGCTTCTGATACCGGCGTTTCATTCAGGTCACAGATGGAAGTCGACGAGGCATTGCAAGCTAGTATCTTGGAATTCTCACAGGAATCCGGCGGAGAGGTCACCGGGGACGCAATGGAGGAGGACGAGGTTGATACTCCAATTCAGGACCGGGAAGAAGCCCAGGAAGAAGATCAAGAAGAAGATCAGGAGGAAGATCAGGAAGATGGATCCAGCCTGGTTGAAAATGAGGACAAAGCTGAGTTGGAGACTAAAATTCAGGATCCAGTTTCGAGGGAACCGTCCCCTGATCTCGGGAGCTCGATGCAGCAGGGAGGAAACAGCCAGCCAGACACTCTGACCGCTTCACAGCAAACGGAAATTGCGGAGCAGGACTTTCACGCAGATCTGAGTGTGCAGCTTGCTCGCGCTGCAAATGCCACCCGAAGAAACACGAGACAGCATGAGACAATATCTAAGAATGGTAATGCATCCAGAGAAAGCCTTCCTAATGACAACACGAGATTCGAGGCAGATGACTCAAGCGTTCAGCTAGCTAGAGCATCTCTGGGCAAGTTCCAGACAGAGGAAGACAACAGTTCGATGACGGCGGCAAAGCTGATGCTCGTCCGCCATCTCCGGGACGAGTTGCCCGACTTCACCCCTCTGAAGATATTGCGGCAGCATTTAAACAAGAAACTAGACGTCATCGCCGTCGCCATGATGCAACCGCCAGAACCACACCGCGCTAAGGGCGGACCGCGAGAGTACATGATGTCGTTCACCATCACGGACCACTCGCTGGGGGCTCTGGGGGTGGTAGAGGTTCTAATATACCGGCCGCACAAGGAGACGCTGCCGATTGTCAAGATCGGAGACGTAGTGCTCCTGCGCAACTTCACAGTGGTATCGCTGCCGAACAAGGGCTTCGGGCTGCGCACCAACGACGAGTCCAGCTGGGCCGTCTTCGACCACGAGGGTCAGCCGCCACAGATCAAGGGCCCGCCCGTCGAGTACGGCGCCAGGGAGGAGGAGTGCGTGACGCACTTGCGCACCTGGTTTAACCTGCTCGACGACAAGGCGCGCGCCAAGCTCGAGAGAGCCAACAAGAAGATCGTCGAGGCTGGCAAGTCTAAACAGGGCTAGGAACTCTTTGACACCCTGCGGGAGGAGCTGATGCTCGCCTCTTAGAATCTGGAGGATACAGTGGGTTTCTTTTCTGTTTCCGTTGTAGATTTGCCTACCTAATGTTTACTGGGTCGGACTTGGAGGCGGAATGGGATCAAAGGGCGCAAGGAAATGAAGAAAAAGTAAGGAACAAAGGCATGGCGTTGCAGGAAGCGAACACGATGTGGGAGTAAACCTAGCTTGCAGCTATTCGTACCGGCGCGTTTAATATGAGGCACTTGTCATCTGAAAAGGTCGTGGAGTTTTGGTGCTTGAGATGGATGATATGCATACCTTAGTAGCCTACCTACTGTTATACATGTGTTCATGGATGTCTCCCCCATCATCAAGAAATTGTCCGTTTTTTCTCTTGAGATATCCATGACTGTAACCGCATCCACATTCTACATTTTACATCATGTCCTAGCTTACTACTGAGGCATTCTTAGTGCAAGTCAAACAGATAGATTCTGGACATCTCGAGTACAGATACATGTACCCGATTCCTACCTACTTAGGTACGCAAACGACCTTCATCATGGGATTACACCGGTCAACAGCAGAGCGGCTGTGAGCGGGGTTCCCGCATCTCAGGTTGTATGTAATATGTATGTACTAGGTACCTTATTTAGGGCACATCGGATCCCCGGATTCGATTCCGTTTGCGAGGTTCCCCAAGGGAGGTCTGTTTGAATATGTAAGATAAGATATTCTTAAGATGTATCAGATTTTTTTCAAGTAACCCATCAGACCATGAACCGGATTTCAGAGTGTGCCACGTGATCGTAACCGAAATATCATTAACTTAATGGTTCCTCTATTCAGCACATGACCGTACATGACTCTTATCCATCATCCTTAGGTAACTTATCTTATCCCTTATCTGAAAGGGTTGGATTGACCGCCAATCGCGGATGTTGCCAGTAGCTCGGGTCACGGCATATGATCCTTGTCGGAACTTTCACGCATCCTTGCAACAGTTGAAATTCGAATGGCGAACCATGAATTCCTAAGGCGACGACCACGGGGCACGAACCCGTGACCCCAGTCTTAGGAGGCAAGATCGCCGCGTAGCGCAGTGGTCGGCACGTTGGACTTTGGCCTCCTAAGACTGAGGTTGCGGGTTCGTGCCCCGTGGGGGTCGCTATTTTTATTTCGTAAATTTCTTTAGGATTTACATAGGCGGTGGATAGAGAGAGAGAGAGAGAGAGAGAGAGAGAGAGAGATGGCAGGTATTGGAGGGGAAAGAGCTTGAAACGCCCATGGTACAACTCATCAACGTATGTATGTCGGCAGCCGTCAAGCCACCTGCAATATAAGACGCCAGAGAGATAAGCATTTCGATCGTGGTTCGGCTTCCCGCTGTTGCGAGGCTGGCTCAACAAGCCACGATCATGCAGTGTAGATCTCCGGACAGTTATCGAACACTCAAAACCGATGAACCATGGGAATATAACGGGGCACGTGGGTTTATCTGACAGCGGGACGCATGCTATGCCATTTAACAGACCATGGATTAATGAGTCTTACAGGCTTGCTTCGTATATTTCGTTTGAATGAAGATCACACTGGCAGCCAAACAAGTTTCTCACCCCGCAAGCCGGTAAATTGAGGGCTTCTCAAAAGGCAGTTTGATATAAGTACCGGGCCTGACAGGTCCTGACAGTTGCCTGACTCATGCAGCGACGGTGACCAAGGGAATAGATCTATTGTAAGGCGAATGTGCTGTGGCAGAACGCCATGTCTACATGAGCCTGGTTTGACGTCTAGGTATCTGTTGCCTCTTTTTCCTAGTTCTATTGGAATGGGAAGGAAGTAAAGCCATTTGTTGTGGTAGTCAGGTACCTTTCACCTGGCGACGACAAGTTACCCACCACCGCGAGCATTTTGGCCACATCCTGCTCACATCCTAAATTCATACAATCAAATCATCTTTTATCATCTATTGAAAGCTCACAGCAGGTTCAACAAAGCTGCGAGATATCCCTTCAATTTCTCAGTATTCAAAGATTTGAAGATTGAGTGTCATCCAAGCCCTCCACACTCAAACGCAACATCGCATCCTTCTTGTTGGCCTCAACACAGTCATCATGGCTACCTCTCAATACCCCGACGAGCACGAGCACGAGCTCGAGCCGGACTACGAAGAAGAAGAGGAAGACCCGCTTCTCAAAGAGCCCGGCGCGGTAATCATGTGGTACGGGCAATTCCAGGGACAGCGGCTCGACGAGCTGCCGGCCTGGTACCAATGGTCGCTCGTCCGTTGGGCCCGCGTGGAACCCAATCGGAACGTAAGTATTGCTTCATTACCCTTCTCTAAGTCAATATCCCCCAAGCCCAAATTTCTCGTAGTACCTATCTAGGTAGCTAACCCATCCTTCGCCCTTGCCCCCCAACAGTCAGAAGAGTTCGCCCGCCTATATCAATTGTACACCGATTACCTCGACCAGCGGCAGGATCCAATGTCGACCAAGGTCTGGTTTGGAAAATACCAAGGGCGGGAGTTTTGGGAGATGTATTTCGATGGCTGGTATTGGAATACGCTGACGAATGATCCGGATTCAAAATGGCTCGTGGAGCTGCGAGCGATTGAGAAGCGGGGGCTTGCTTGGAGGGAGCGACAACAACTCAAGCAGCAACAGGAGATTCAGCAGCTCCTTGAGGAGAAGAAGCTGAAGAAGCGGAAGGAGGACCCGCTTCCACCCGTTGACCAGAAGCTGAAGCGGAAGGAGGGGGATCCTCCTACACCTGTTGAGCAGAAACTGAAGCAGTGGGAGGAGGACCCTCTTCCACCCGCGGTGCAGAAGCGGCAGCGGAAGCCGAGGGTCATACAGAATCCCGTGGGCCAGAGACTCGGGCGTAAGGACGATGGCTTCGCAACTGATAATGACGAGGATTATGACTCGGACGGGGGTTTCGTGGTGCCCGACGACGAGGAAGTGGAAGAGGAGGAAGTGGACACGGAAGGGTCGGCATGGGAGGGCGACGGCGAGCAGGAAATGTTCGAGGAGGACCTGCCGGTCGATATGCACTTGCGTGAATATCTCGACGAGGTTGGCAACACGTTGTTACCAGGAGACATGTCGCCTTTGGAAGAGAACCCGGATGGCGACGACGACACCGAGGGCTTGGATCACGACGACGATTCAGATGGCTCGCTGCCGTCTGTGAGCAAGATATTCAAGTCCGCGCAGCTCAACACACCGGCCAAGACACCCGCTCCCACCCCAAAGTCGAAGTCGCAGTCCAAGTCCAAGCTCGATCTCAATCTCAGCCCGGATTCTGCAGCATACCTCCAAACGCCCGTCAGCCGGCTAGGCACCAAAATCAAGCGCGGGCTGGACCTGAACAGCTCCGACGAAGACGAGGACGCCACCCCATCCCCTAGCAAGCGCGCTAGAGCAACCATGGACAAGAACACTGCGGCTGACACACCTACTACCCCTACTCACTCTGCGCTCAAGACCAAGACCAAGGCCAATGCCAAGTCCAGTTCCAGTTCGAAGCCAGTAATCCCGCTTTCCGAGCACCAGCTCTCAAACCGCAGCACCAGCAGCGCCACCAATCAAGCCAACAGGGCGCAGTCGAAGCCGACCTCAGCCAGGGTGGTAAGTAGTACCGACTCAGATACGGGTTCGGACGCAGACTCGGACCCGGATTGGGAGCCCCCTAGTCCTACGCCACGCCAGCACACCACTCGATCCACGAACAACGACAAGGTGCAAGTGCCTATTGACTCCGACGATGAGCCTTTGGTGCCGAAGCTGCGTGCTTCAATCAACATGGACGGCTAGATAGCTACTGGGTTGGTTGGTTACCTGGTTCGAGGCCGCGGTGCTATGCGACGAAGATGAATAGTGATGAAGGATAAGTGCCTGGGTATTGATCTTTGGCCTATGGGATTGGCAAGTGGTTCTTCTATCGACTTTCAACAGACAAGGAGGTGGTAGATAAGCAACCACATATGGTGAGGCAATCTTTCTTTGTGGTCGATTGATGTTGTCGGTCAGCTACACGAGCTCCGAAATGATGTAACGATGACGATAATGGTGATGACTGGAGAGAGGGCTCTTGAGACAATACAAGACAGATAGCTACCTCATAGTAATGAAAAGAATGGACCGTCTACCGAGTACTATGAACCAAAGCGAGTGTATATATGAGAAGGCATGTGAATTGGCTTACTTACTTAGGTACCTCAGGTAAGTTAGGTACGCTTTCATATACCCGTATCATACATGGAACCATAGACAACGAGGAGACCCTACTTAGCCAACGACGTCGTCCGCAACGGCACGGAGGATGGTCAGCTGGCGCGGGCTGATAGCATAGAATAGAGGCTCACATACACGAAGGACCAGTTGTCTGACACCAGCCAATCTAGATTTGCGAGAATCGATCAGCCTGAGTCATCCCCCAACAGTGAAACCAAAGAAGAGCTGTGATTGTATTCTGTAAGCAAGTGATTTTGCTTCTACATAGGTAAATAGGTAAGACACGGTATCACATTAGTAACACGAGTACGGCAAACACAAGGCATATACTCATTCTCTCTCTTAAAAGAAATATTGAACAATTCATCGCTTAGCTTAGAAATGCCGACACGAAGCGCTCTAATCTATTTACGATGCATCGCGTCAGTACTTAGTAGGACCGCCCTACTCGACATTAACGCCAAAAAAACACACACCCAGAGTGTTTGCAGGAGGTACGCACTATATGAATCCATCACACCGACGGTATGTCCCGCTGGTAGATATCCTGAACGATTGCTATCCAACCATGCTTTATGATCCGGCTCCGCTTCGGCTGGTTTGGTTGCCAGACACGCGATTTCACCCTTTACTCGTCATCCACGAGCTTCTTATCCTCCCACGCCTTCTTAGCTGCCTTGGTGAGCGTGTCCATGTCCCCGCTCATCTCGCACATGCTCTTGAAGCTTCCCTCCTCCTTCTGTAGAAGTTCGTGCGGGTGGCCGTACTCCACCACCGCGCCGTGGTCCAGGACCAGCACCTTGTCATAGTCGACAATAGTGGCGAGTCGATGCGCGATCGTGATGATGGTGCTCTTCAGGTCCCGAATCGTTTCTTGGATCTTCGAATCCGTCGCGTAGTCGATCGACGCCGTGGCCTCGTCCATCACAAGTACTTTTGGGTCCTTGAGCATGGCGCGGGCGAGACATAGAAGCTGCCTTTGGCCCTGAGACAGATTCGTGCCCGACTCCGCCACCGACGAGGACAGGTCGAGGAAGATGTTCTTGTTCGTTACGGTTGGCGTTGTGGGCGTCGCTGCTGTTTGGTCATCTGGAACCTCGTTGGGTTGCGATGGTGGGAGAGACTGTGTGGTCGACGTCGGCCATTCGTACGGGCCGATGAGCTGAACTTTCCTCAGGGCAGTAAAAATTTCTTCATCAGTGTAGAGATCAAAGGGATCGAGGTTTGTGCGGATGGTCCCGGTAAAGAGCGTCGGGTCCTGGGGCACGATGGTAATCGCTTCTCGGAGGTCTTGTAGACCAATCGTGCCAATGTCGACGCCGTCAATAAGGATTTTACCGCTCTCTGCTTCCAGTGCGCGAAAGATCGCCAGCGTGAGGGAACTCTTTCCGGCGCCAGTTCGTCCCACGATACCAACCTTCTCGCGAGGCTCAATCTTAAAGGTAACGTCCTTTAACACAGGGTCAAGCTCCTTGCGGTATCTCGTCGAATAACCGACAAATTCAACTGCGCCATGCGCGGGCCAGTCCTCAGCCGGGCGGTTTTTCTCGTTGATTGCCTCGGCTTCTTGTTCCACGTCCAGGTACTCCTTGACACGCTCCACAGAATTCATATTCTGTTCATTCATAGCGTAGAGACGCACAAGCCACAAGATGTTTTCGGAAAACCCAATTGCGTAACTGAGGGACACACCCGCGGAGCCGGCGTCTATCTTTCCTAAACTGAGAATGACGAAGACACCAGCGAAGAACGACACAAAGTCTCCCAGTAGGTCCGTTCGGAATGCAAGCCATCTGTTGGCTGCCCACAAGAATATGAACGGACGAGACTGCGTATTGATCTTTGTGAGGTTCTCCCGAATAAACCGCCGCTCGTCACCGTAGGCGCGGATGGTAGTAACACCCGAAAGAGTTTCGCCAAACTGCTGAAA